AACGTATAATGTCAATTTTAAATTTAGAGTTACAATGTGTAGGTTTAATGTGAAACCAAATGGATGATCAGTCAGAGATGTTGATAAGTAAGGCCAACACTATGAGCGAAATACGAAAAATCACTGAAAAAAACCCTACCTTGAAAACTTATTTAATTGAAAGTTTACAACAGCCAATTCGACTGATTCGTGATATATTTGAACGTCAAAACTTGAAGGAAGTACCATTTGAAACTTTTGATGCAGCAACCGATGAAGAAATAGAAAGTTTCTGGGAAACTATTTATATTATAGATAATAGTGTAACACAAGAAGATCGTACTATGGAACATATCAAAAAAAAGGTAATAAACATAATACTGTATAATAGCATTAATCAGAATAAAACAAAATAACATTTATTTACATTTTATTAAGTTAAAATTAAAAGAATTCATGGATCACTGTTGTACCATGCGACACTATTTCTTTACAATAAAAAAATGTGGTAAAGTAGACTGCTATATTTGCCGGCCTTGTCATTGTACGCCCGAAGAGTTTAAACAACTTCATCAACTTCCCGACCCAATTCCTGGTGAAGATTTGCATTATAAACCATTTGAGAAATTATATGGAACACCAACAACAGAGAAACACAGACCTTCCTTAAAGAATTCCAAGCTGACAACATCAAAAACTGGTAAGAAAATAATAAAAAAATTAAAACATACTATGCCATTTTGTCCATCTGCTGCCCATGCAAAAAATGTTGGCATTACAGTATTTTGTGTTGAGTGCGAAAAGCCACGTTTATTATTTAGCTTAAAAAAGCTAACCAACAAAAATCGAGAAAAACTTAAAAGATTCCTGGACACGATTTTGTATACATGTGGGATGTCTTTTCATAATACTTGTGATCTGTCGCTAGTAGTCACAACAGAACAGACTGATATACAGATCATTAACTCGGATGCTACTAACAACAGTTCGACCAATCCTAATGATATAGACGATGATAATATAGAGCCTGATTATGATGACAATGATGACCAAAATAACGATGATTATGACGATGAGCAGGAGGAGTTCAGTGAATCTGCAGAATCAGATAATAGTGATGGGGATGAAGAGATTAATGTGGAAGATCCAATTAGAATGCTTTTCGAAAGAGTTTTTGTAAATGACTCGTGGACATGTGTATCACCAATTGAAAATC